AAATATTGATTTTGTTTCTTTTGTATATTGCTATATAAATTAATGTTATAATTCTTTTAAACATAATAATTTATTAAAATAATGAATTATCTAGTTTTTTTATCAACACTCTGTTCAGATACTACTTCATTATAATATTGATAGACAAAGCAATATGCATCAGCAATAAAATTACTTGCAACATATGCATAAAACGCTGGAGTAGGGAAATACTTCCAGTTATATGGCGTATCTAATGATCCACATATTGCAGAAATAATGATAGATAATAACACTATCATCGAAGGAATAAACAAGAAATGATATTCTTCTTTTTGTTTAAGAGTTTGTTTATAAGCAAGAAGTATAAGTGGGCTTGAATATACACCGAACCCCAAAGAGCACATTATTGTTTGAAGTGTATGACTTAGAAGCTTTGGCTTAAAAATAAAAAATGAAATCATTGATACAATAACACCAATAATAACAGATAATATTTGTTCAATCAGCGAATACGAGTTTGGTTTAATTTTATTTAATACAACGTATGTTAGTAAAGGTTGGACAATAACATTTGTGACTCCGAATAATATATATTCCAACAATGGCTCATACTGTGGTTCAACTCCTCTTTCTCCTTTTGTAGGATGACCAAATATAGCAAGAAGATATGGAACAATTAATAAATGAAATAAAGCACGAATTACAATGTATTGTGTTGCCTTCATTGTAAGAGAGTTTAATCAGTTTTTTGTTTTATTCTTTTTTTTCTTAAAAACTTTTTGAAAAACATTAATTTAAACAAAAATAAATAACAAAAAATTATCTTTTTAAGATATAATTTCAATTATTCATAACTATGAACTATATTAACGCCTCTATTTGTGTTGATTATTCTATTAATTTACTTCATGTACTAAGTCATATTCCTTCTATAATTGTCCCTGTTAAAATAGAAAACATACAGGTTAAGGATGTTTGTTTGGAAGCCTCAAGAGGATTAGTACCATTACTCTCATACCCATCTAATACAACTTATATTGGGGTTTGTATTTCATCAAATGCCATTGCCATTAGAGATCCTATTCGTTTATTATATGCTGAAGGACCAAATGTATTAAATCAACTTGACATTTTACTAACTACATTTCAAAAATTACCAGAAACTCCAACTGGTAATATTGCTCTTGCCTCACTACAAATTCATTACATTAATTACGTTGACTCGTTCTTCAAAAATAATAATGGGGTGTTTTGTATTGAATTGAATGGATCAATCACTCACTCCATCCCTCAATGTCCAATTGTTTATTGTGGAACATTTAATCCATTTCATAAAGCACACAAGAAGATTATTGAATATATGTCAATGAGGTTTAATCATCGACCTATTATTTTAGATATTTCACAGAGAAGTGAAGACAAATCAGTCACCTCTTTAACTAATGTCTTTATTAGGGCTTCACAAGTTGCTGGTAAATATAAAGTAAGTATTTCAAATACTTCACTTTATATTGATAAGTGCAAGACTTACCCTGGAGGTACATTTGTTGTTGGATTAGACACTGCTGTTAGAATTCTCAATAAGAGGTATTATCAAAATAGTGAAATTAATTTAAAAAAGGCAATGCAAGTTATTGCAAGTATGGGTTGTAATTTTATTGTTGTTGGAAGAAAAGATGACATTACAAATCGTTTCTTAGAATTTGATTCTGTTAAATCAACACTTCCAGCAAAGGAATATCATTATCTATTTATCTCCCTTAATGAAAAAGAATTTAGATATGATTTATCGTCAACTTACCTTAGAGCCAATGGGATTGTTATAAATAAAAACATATTACCAAAACTTTAATAGAGTCTAATACAGTTCATGTTTTATTTTTTGTTATATAAGAGAGTAAAAGAGTAAAAAGATTAATGTTGTTTTGTATTAAGTTCTAGTTTCTTATTAATTAAATGATAAAATAATTTATTTTTATGTAAAATAAACTATAAAGAAATTAAAAAAAGTATTTCTTTATGGAAGAAGAGAATAGAAAAATGCTTATTAACAATGAAATAGAACAACGCACAAGATTTGTTGAACTTCATGACTCTATGGGTGATGGATTAATCTCTCGTATCAACGAACGTATTCAACAATTGACTGAGCAAGAACAAAAAATAGTGTTTGGGATTATTGGAAGTTATCAACAAAGTGTGTTGGTTGGTGTTAGTTTTAAAAAAGAAATGTTGATAGAATTAAAAAATATTCCTGTAGAGGTAGTTTATCGAGTGTGGAGGTATTTGGAACAATTAAATTGAGTTTTATGAATTTTTTATTTAAAATCTTTTTTATTTTGTCAATATATAATGTTTAGAAATAAACCAAATTCACTTGATCAATTCTTTCTTCCTAAACAAAAGAAAGAACCAACTACAACTAATGGTTTAGAGGATCAACAAGAAAAGTCTCCTCAAGGGATTAAACAAATTTATATCCCATTGGCTGAAAAACAACGACCAAAAAACTTAGAAGATATAATTGGACAAGAGGATATTCTTGCAATTGGGACACCTTTTAATACTATGATTAAAAATGATAAGATTCAATCTACTATTCTCTATGGACCACCTGGTTGTGGCAAAACCACAATTGCAGGTATTATTAAAAATAACAGTAGGTCTACATTTATTTCTATGTCTGCTGCCACAAGTAAAAAAGAGGATTTTAAGAAAGTGCTTAATGATGCTAAACACAGGAAACGTATGGGAATAAATACCATTTTATTTCTTGATGAAATCCATAGTTTAAATAGGTTGCAGCAAGACACATTTTTACCTGCTATAGAAAGTGGGACTATTATTCTTATAGGTGCAACTACTGAAAATCCATCGTTTGAATTAAATAATGCGTTAATGAGTCGTTGCCAACTTGTAACATTAAAGAAATTAACTGATGAAGATGTTGTTAAAATAATGAGAAAGGCTATTGACGAGGAATATTGTTATTCGAAAATTGATATTGACAATGAAGGACTTCATTTTATTGCAGCTATTTCTGATGGAGATGCAAGAAGTGCATTAAATACCTTAGAAAAAGTATTTGTTCATTTTAACCTCATGAGTGAAAAGGTTTTAAAAAATGAAATAAATGAAAAAGGTGGAATAGACATTGAGGTAAGAGAGTTAGAAGAAAAGGTTAAGAAAGGAGAGATTAAAGTATTAAGAATTAATGGAAAAATTGTCTCTATTATTGATAACAAAAACGAAAAACAAAAAACAGAAGAAATTGAGAAAGAGATAATAGACAAAACAGACTCTGTCATAACTATTTCTGATGAGATTAGTGATGTTGTTATGGTTCAACCTGAACCAAAAGACATAACTCAAACAGAAGGAGATATTTTTAATGAAAATAGTGATTCTCATATAAAAGAAATAGCTAAACCAAATGAAAGGTTAGAGATTAAAAAAGTAGAGAAAAAATATATTTTAACGTATAAACTTATTGAAAATTACTTACAAAGAAATATTTACCAACCTAAAAATCAAGGAGAAGATCATTTTAAGGTTTTAACTGCTTTTCAAAAAAGCATTACTCATTCAGATGAAGAGGCAACAATATATTGGTTACAACGATTGATAGAAATGGGAGAAAATCCAAAGTACATAGTAAGAAGAATGATTAAAATATCTAGTGAAGATATTGGACTTGCAGATGTAGAAGCATTAAATATTGCAGTTAAAACATTTCAAATTGTTTCTTCTTTAGGATACCCAGAATCAGACACTGCATTATATGAATGTGCTTTATATTTAGCCAGAGCACCAAAGTCATGTGCGGTTTTTGAAACAATGAAATATACCGAAGAAATTATAAAACAGACAGGGTCATTACCTGTCCCACTTCATATCAGAAATGCACCTACTTCATTAATGGAGAAGATGGGATATTCTGTTGGTTATAAATATCCACCAAATTATAATGAAGTTTTAGATCAAACTTATCTCCCAGAAAAACTGATTAACACAAAGTTAGTTTTTTATGACCGTTTTGTTAAACCTATTAATAAAGATGATATTATAATGAAAGCAGAAGAAAATGATTTAAGTTCTGTACAAGTTCAACGAAGTTATCAATTTAGAAATTTTGATGTTGATTATTGCAAAGATAAAAAAGAAATAACTCAAATTGTTAATAATTAAGTATTGCCTAATCAGGAGATTTTGTGTTATTTAGCTTTATTATTTTATGTAATACAATTTCATTTAACATGGAGGTTGATTCTATCACAAAAAATATCTTTAGTTTAATTTTTGTTTTTCATACTAAAAAAGAGATTTTTGTATTTTTATTATAAAGAAAATGAGAATAGAAAATTATTTTGTTTTTGGTTATTACTTAAATCAATGGTTATTCAATTTAATTTGAAAAACAAACAATAACTTAAAAAATATTAATTTTTATTATTTCTTTTTTTTTAAAAAAAAAAAAATAAGTTTCAAAGGATTTTCTTTTGATATTGAAAGTAAAAAAGAACTACAAAAAATTACAAGAAAAATGAGTTATTTAGAGAATGTATTTTTGAGGAATATTGTATTTTATTTTATAAATACCAAAACCATTAAAACATTTTGTTTTATTTCTAAAAGATGTAAAGAAGCAGTTATAAGTGTTTATCATCACCCTTACAAACTAAGTAAAGAAACAACGATATATGACATTTTTAATTTATTTCCAAAACTTGAAACAATAAGAGTAAATTCATTTCATGATGAGATATCAAAAACAATATTATCAAAAGTAAAATTAATAGATTTTCAGAATATAAGAAACTCATCATATTTACAACAATTTATGAATAAAAGATTTCTTTCAAAAATTATTAATATAAACATAATAAATTCAACATTACTTAATTCACTTAATTCAAATTTGATATGGGTAAAAAATTTGAGAGTTGTTAGTATTGAATGTGTTATTGATCAACCAAATCTTCAATTATTATTACAAATTAAGTCTTTGAGATTATTAATATTAAAACAATCTAAACAAATATTTCTTTCTATTCTTCAATTCCTTCATTTACAACACATTAATTGTTCAATTTCATTAATTGAAGATAAATTAATAAAATATGACTTTAACTCCTCTGAAAGTTTTTCTAATAATTCAATTTCATTAGAATCATTATGTTTAGATTCTAAAATTAAATTATTTTGTTGGAGTGATGGACAACTATTTAAACAATTAAAAAATTTCGAAAATGTTTATTGTATTAATTCTGGTTCATTCAATGAAACACTTTCTACAACTATTGATGACACTGTTCATTCAATTATTTCTCAATGTAATTATAAAATAACTATCACTTTTAATATTAACCAAAATACTCAAAAGACTTCACAAATATTTGATTTCTCAAAAACTCCGATAAAATATATGTCATTAATAAATTTAAATTTTCAAATATTGTTTCCTCCTCGTTTAGAACAACTTTTTTGTGTTTCTTCAAGTAAATTTGATATTAATTCTATTCATTTAAAAAAGTTAGATTTATGTGGTAATTTGATTGGAAAGATATATATTAATATGGATTTAATGGAATCACTTTCAATTGTTCAAACATCTACAGAAATCTTTGATTTGAAATTTAGATATGATAGTATAAAAGATTCTCTTATAGTAACACCTTTATTACAACTTATTAAAATTGATTTGTCTAGTTCTAAACAAAAATTAAAACTACAATATAAGAATATCTTTTTTGAGTGTTTTGGAATCACTAAAATTACCAATCTTTCTTTTGAAATTCAAGGAATCATCAATAAGACATGCATCATTAATTTATCTACATTAAATTCTAAAAAAATTAGAATTAAGGATTCTTGTATTGGTGATTTGATTCTTAATGGAACTAATAAAGAAGAATTATATATCGAAACAAGCTCAATTCAAAATATTATACTTTCTAATATCTTGTACTTTAGAGGATTAAGTGGTCATCTTCACAATGTAAAAATGAAGAATGTTGCATCATATAAAGGATGTTCTAGTGTAATATTAAATATAGTCAAATAACCTTTTTTTTATATAAATATAATTCTTGTTAAATGATTAATTTATTTTATCTCTTTAATTTTTTCTATTTATCTATTCTATTATCTTATCTTATTTAAATAAAAATAGAAAAGATATAATTATGTTTTATTGATATTTTTAAGAAGTACTTATTTTTATATTTTTGAATAGGTGACTTAAAACATTAATGTAATATTTTTAATATTTTTAACTCTATCAATAATTATGTATATTAATAATACAGCACATAATTAAAAATGCATAGTTGATTCATAAATAATGAAATTGAAATTATTAGTTAGATAGACGTTTTATTCTTGTAATTTATTTATTCTGTAACTTATTTCTAAGATTTTAAAACTAGTAACATAAATTGTACTAGTACATGATAAAAATACAAAACATTTACTTCAATTCTTATTTGTTTATCAAATCATAAAATAATAATCCATCCTTTTACAATCAACCCTATCAAAAAGATATTTGAGATAAATATCTTAAGTAATTTCAATGTTGAATATACTCATTTCAAAATATATTGTTTGCTCTGATATTTATCTTTTTATTTATTTTAAAGAAGTAGATGTGCTTAGTGGTTGTTTAAGTCTATGTTGTTTTTTTTGTACTTTATTACAACTGAGATTAAAACTAAAAGAAGTAACAAAGAAATATATCCTAATAATTTAAATTAATATAAGAAAGGAATTAATACTGTTCGGTTCTTTGGATAATCAGGAAACTCTCGATAATACCTTTGATGTTTTTGAAGAGCCCATTCCCTCATTTGGTAAATACCACACAGTGAGAATAAAACTCCAAAAAATGGAAACCCAGTCAAAGCGTTAAAGAAGACCCATGTCATAATTTCACAAAAATAATGAGGACAAGAAACATACTCGAATAAGAAACCTTTTGGAATAGCTCTTATTTGAGTCCCTGGTGGTCTTAACCATTTTAAAAGAAGATGACAATAACCATTTGAAACAATTGAAATGAGCATAGCACAAGCACAAATAGAAACAAATAAATCAGGAACTTGTCTTGAAAAAAGATTTACATTAATAGAAACAGCAAGGGCAAAACCCCAATAATATGTACAATTCTTAAAAACGTTATTATAAGGCATTGTATTATCTCCAAATTCATGAACATAAATAGTTTCTAATATTCTTTTTAAATAATGAACAACCCATAAAAATAATGCCATATATTGTTGGTAAAGAATTGTTCTATTTAGGGATTTTAGTATAAAGAATGGAATAAAGTACAGTACCAATGGGCCAATATATTCTAAAAGATAAACAAATCTGTATGGGAGTTGTCTTCCAAGGTCTTTCATTTCTAATTCTGTTTCTTCATTCACTCCACACTCAGTTAATGTTTTGTCAACAAGAAGAATAACTTTTTTATTTTCTTTTGTATAATACCATATTCTTTGTTGACAAGGTTTAATCTTACAAAGTTCTTCTATTTCAACTTTCATTTCTCTAACTGTTTTATTAAGAGAAATAGGTAAAGAATAATGCTGTGAATTAAAAATGATTTTAACCATTGATAACCTTAGTTATAATTAATCTCATTAAATACTTCTTTTCAAGAAAATTCATCATCTTTCTTTTTTGAATAAAAACCTTGATTTATTTAATTCTATATTAATTATAGTAATTATTAATTTTCTTTTCTTATTTAATCGAAGGTATTATCTTTTTTTCTTCGATTTTTCGTTGTTTATTCAATGGAATTTCATTGATTTTTTTATTACAAACTTTTTATAATATTTTCAGAATGGTAATTAAATTAACAAAATTTGTTTTTTTTTGTTTTATTAAACAAAAAATAAATAAAACAATTCGTAACAATTATCTGTTATTATTCCTTCCATTTCTAAAAATATTAAACGGTATTTAAGATAACAACATTAAGAAAAAATAATTAATAAAATCCATAAATAAATTTAAAAAAAGGGGGTACAAGAGGCAGATATTATTTTTAAAAAGAAAAGGTAATAATTTAACAGAAGAGTCAATGTACATGAAAAGGAATTTAAAAGTTATTCAGTACAAAACCAATCAGCGGTTTCAGTTGAATAAAAGTTTTCATTAGAAAGTCTAAACACACCTCTAACACATGAACTTTCAAAAGTAGGAGTGTTTCTAACAACTTCATCACTTCTTTTATCAAATTCCATTTCTGGTTTTAAGTCTGTTGTAAATAATTCAGGATAATCTGCGATATAATTTTCAATAACATTTTCTTGATTGTTACATACAGAATGGAAAATATTTACTATTTCTTCATCATATCCTTTTAATTCTACAAAGGCTCTTTGGGAGCATCTTCCACAAGGATTTCTATTCATTAAGCTTGAAGTAACTTTAGTTCCAAATAAAGTAACACCATTTTTATTGAAAGGACCTATTTCCTTATATATCTTCAGTTTAAGAGTTTTAACTGCAGTTGTTCTTTTAGCAAGTTTAAAATGAAATCTTGCGACTTCTTTAGAAACAGCATTAAAAATAGCAACCTCTTTATCTCTTCTTTTATTTTTATCTAAAACACTTGGGAAAGAATATTGTTCTTGAACAAGTTCATTAATGTCCTTTCCATTGATAAAAGCATTTGCAATAGAAAGATGCGCAAGTGTATTTTTTGATTTCTTTGATGGAAGTTTGACTGTAACGGAATTACCAAGAACAACAAATAACCCAATTACACAAGCATTAGAGAGTCTTTCTCTATCAACAGATCGATTTCTATTGATGGATTGAAGTTTGGTTGAGGTAGTATTAGCTTTAGGCATAATATATTCAAATGACAATTAATTTTCAGATGAAAACAGGGGGTTTTCATACATGACTTCAGAGTTCAACCAAATATAAAATCTAAGTAATTTCGAAATCATGAACCAAATATAATCAACACTTCCATTCGAAATTCATAGTTCTTCATAAGATAATTATTTTTATTAGGAAGTTATCTGTATTTTTAAAAATTAACCCATATTTTTCTTAATTCTATTCAATTGTTTTTATTTATTAATTCTTTTTCAATAAATATTTATAATTATTGTTTTTAATTTCATTATTTTTGACTTAATCACTTTTCTCCTTTTTACTTAGTCAAATAAGAACAACGAATGTATTTTTTTTTTAATTAAAAAAAAAAACTTATAAACCTTCGTTTTTTTTTCCTGTTTTTTGCTTCTATTGAAAAAATGTCTATTTTTCAATAAGTATTTTTTTTAATTTATTTTACTATTAAATATTAAAAAAATGAAAATAACTTTTATTTAGTTTATAGTTCAGAAGCAAGAGTTTGTAAATTTCTGAAATAATTATTCTTAGAATCTTCTAAAAAAATTAGAATTATTTAACCATTAGAATAATGGTTCAAGAGTCAACACTTCTTCAAGATAAAAACACCGGAAAAATGCTAAATTTAACCTGGACCAAAATTCTATTTTAAGAAATCTTGTATTGAACAAAGGTACATTCCCCAAAAACATTTAAAGAAATTGATGTTTTGAAATGAAACAAAACTATTCACAAATTTGATTACAAAATATATTTTTAATTTTCAAGAAATAATGAAACAAGATTATTCCGTATTGAAAAAGTAGTAAAAGCTGAAATATTTAATAACAAATTTGATAAAAATAATCATTATTTATTGTTATTTTTGTTTCATATTTTTTACACTTACATAATTCAAGAAGTGCATCTTTCTGTTTATAGAACTATCAAATAAAAAATATGGATATTGTTAACGATACAACCGACCAAACTATTACTATGAACGATGATACCCCTTTTATTCCAACAAAAGTGAACCCAGAATCTAAGTATTTTCCTTTATGTATATGTTGGTCAACAATTCCTATTTTATCGTTTGTATTGATTTTTTTCAATAAGATAGTTTTGATTTTTAATATATAGATGGTTAGTTCCTTGTTTAGGACATACAGCTATTTCAGATCCTAATGGATGGGTTTATGATTTCCAAGGATCATATTCTATTGGAGTTTGATGTTTTTATCTATTTCATTTATTTTACTTATAACAAATAGAGAAGAAGACAAACTACTTGTTTTGGTTCAATAAAGAAATATGTTGAATTAAATATAAATGTTAGTAGTGATGAATATATAAATGCTATTGAAGAAATTAATATAAAATATAGTAAATTAACACATAACTTAGTTACTCAAAACTGTCATGAACATGTTGCTGATATATTAAATAAAATAGCTTACAAAAATAAAACAACTTGGGGAACATTGTCTATTCTTTGGTTATTATTTAAAGATGCTAAGTACGTGAGTAATAAAACTATCCTTTTTACTTACTTACCATTTTTATTAATCTTATTTACTTTTATCATATTTACTACTTTCTTTATTGTAGTACTTTATTAAATTCATTACTTTTTTTATTACAATTTTTAATGATTACTTTTAATAAAACAAATTAGAGAAAAATGATCCAAATGAATTTAAGCTTTCCAAATGGCTATATTACCATC